ATATGAGAGAAACCTGATCCAGGCAGGGTTAAGCCGGAGAGCTCCCAACTTTGTTCTCTTCTCAAGACTGGTTTGGCTCTTCTGGCTTCCTTGCATTTTCATAAGAATATTAGAGTCAGCTTGTCAATTTCTGCAAAAAAGTCAGCTGGAATTTTAATAGGGGTTATATTGAATCTGTAGATCAATTTGGTGACAATTTCCATCCTAACCACATTAAGTCTTTCAATCCGTCTCCAGGACGCCTTGCCATCTATTTAAGTCATCTTGGATTTCCTTCAATGACGTTTGGTAGTTTTCAGCATATAAATCGTGTACTTCTCTTGCTACATGTATTCGTAAACATATTTTCTTTCTGATGCTATGGTAAGTGGAATTATTTCCTTAGTTTTGTTTTTTATTGTTTATTATTACTGCATAGAAATACACCTGAATTTTGTTTATTGAAATTGGATCTTGCAACTTGACTGAACTTGGTTTTTTTTTTTTCAGTTCTATTCGTGTGTGTGTGTGTGTAACTTGGAATTTTCTCTATACAAGATCATGCCATCTACAAACAGGGATACTTTACTTCTTCCTCCGTTCTGAGTGACTTTTACTTCTCTTTCTTGCCCAGTTTCTCTGGCTGAACCTTCCATACAATGAGGGCTAGAAGGGATAAGAGCAGACATCCCCGTCTTGTCGGAAGCTCTCAGCCTTTCACCATTAAGTGGGATGTTAACTCTGGGGGTTTTGTAGGTGCCCTTTACCAGGCTGAGGAAATTCTCCTCTATTGCTAGACTGTTGAGTGTTTATCAGGAACAGCCATTGGATTTTGTCAAATGCCTTTTCTCTCTCTCTCTCTCTCTCTTTCTTTCTTTCTTTCTTTTTTTTTTTTTTTGCATCATTGGACATAATTGCAGTTTTGTCTTTAATTCTATTACCATACTATGTTGGAATGATTAAGTTTCATGTGTTGAACCAAGTTTCCATTCCTGTGATAAATCCCACTTGGCCAAAGTGTATAATCATTTTTTATATGTTGTTTAATTCAGTTTGCCAGAATTTTATTAAAGATTTTTGCATCTATATTTGTAAGGGATATTGGTCTGTAGTTTTTTGTTCTCTTGGTGTCTGGCTTTGATATCAGTGAACCAATGGCTTCAGAGAGAGAACTAGGAAATGTTCCCTCTTCTTGTATCTTTTGGAAGAGTTTGTACAGGATTCATGCTGATTCTTCTTTAAACATTTGGTTGAGATCACCATGAAGCCATCTGGTCCTGACTTTAAAGGAGATTTATTTCTTAATTTTTTAAAGTATTTTTTATTGATTACATTATTACAGTTGTCTCAATTCCCCCACCCCTGGTTTTATTGCTATGTTGATCTCTTATAAATCGACTCAGCTTTTCCATCTCCTTTAGTCAGTTTTGGTGGTTTTTGCGTTTGTAGAATTCATTTCACCTACGTTATGTAATTTATTGGGACACAGTTGTTCATCATGTACCTTATTCTTTTTATTTCTGTGAGGTTCATGATAGTGACCCTCTTTTATCCCTGATTTTAGCACTTTGAGTATTTTTTGCTTAGTCATTCTAGCTAAAGGTTTGTCAACTCTGTTGATCTTTTTAAACAAGCAACTTTTAGTTTCATTGATTCTATTTTTTTTAATTTTCTATTTCATTCATTGCTTCTTTAATCTTAATTATTTCCTCCTTTCTGCTTTCTTTGGATTTAATTTGCTCTACTATTTTTGTTTCTTAACAAAGAAGGTTAGGTCACTGACTTAAGACCTTTAATATACTCATTTATAGCTATAAATGTTTAATATACTCATTTATAGCTATAAAATTTTAAGCACTGCTTTTACGGCATCCCATAAGTTTTGGTATGTTGCATTTTCATTTTTGTTCATCTCAAAGTATTTTCTAATTTCCCTCGTGATTTCTTCTTTGACCAGTTGGTTATTTAGGAGCGTGTTATTCAACTTCCACATATTTGTGAATCTTCCAGTTTCCCCTCTGTTTCTGATTTATAATTTCTTTCCATTGTGGAATGATTGTGGAACATACTTGGCATGATTTAAATCTTTTTAAATTTATTGATGCTTGTTTTATGTTGTAACATATGGTCTGTCCTGGAGAGTGTTCCATGTGAATTTGAAACGAATGTTTATTCTTCTTCAATGCATATATTAATGTTTTTCATCAGATTTGAGAAGTTTTAGGAATGAGTCCTTCAAATATTCTTCCTTCCCCTTGTTCTCACTCCTCTCTTCTGGGCACTCTTGTTGTGCCTTCGTTGGCATGTTTGATGGTATGCCCAGGTCTCTGAGACACCGTTCATTTTTCTTTATTCTTTTTTCTTTCTGCTCCTGAGACTAGTTAATCTCAGTTGACCTACTTCAAAGCTGTTGACCTTTTTCTTCTTCCTGCTCAAACCTGCTCTTGAGCCTCTCTAGTGAATTTATTTCAGTTCTTGTACGTCTCAATTCCAAAATTTATTGTGGCTCTTTTTTATACTTTTTACATTTTTATTCTGATAGTCTCTGGAAAGAAATTATTCTCATACTTCCCTTTTGTTTTTTTAGATGTTTAAAAAACTTCTTTGTGCGTATTCTTAAATAGCTGATTTAAAGTCTTTATTCTGGTAGTCTCTGGTGAGAAATTATTCTCATATCTTCCTTTAGTTTTTTAGAGATTTAAAAAACTTCTTTGTACTTATTTTTAAATAGTTGATTTAAAGTCTTTGTAAACCCAATGTCTGGAATTCCTCGAAGATAGTTTCTACTGACTGCTTCCCCCCTCGACCCCCCCGTGTATGGGCCATTCTTTCATGTTTTTCTTGTCAGTTGAAAGCTGAGCATTTAAAATAATATAGCTTGCTAGACCGGTGTGGCGCAGTTCATTGGGCATGATTCTGCAAAGCGAAAGGTGACCGATTTGATTCCTGGTCAGGGCACATGCCTGGATTTCAGGTTTGGTCCCCAGGAGGGGTGCATGCGAGAGGCAACCGATCGATTTCTCTCTTGCATTGATGTTTCTCTCCCTGTCTTTCTCCCTCCCCTCTCTCTAAAAATAAATAAATAAAATCTTTTTAAAAAGAGAAAAGATATCATTTTGGGTTTATCAGATAAGGTATCTTCAAAATAAGTAAGTACATACATACACACATACGTAAAATACAGTTTGACAACACTAGGAAACGTTCTTCTCCCTTCCCAAGTCTGCTTATTGTTACTATTTATTGTTGCTTTTGTTTAATGAGTTTTCTCAAAGCATCTGTAAAGTCTGTATTTCTTGCTGTGTGTGGCCACTGAAATATCTGCTAGGTTAGCCTGAAGTCACCTGAAGATTGCACATAGGTTGCCGTAGGTGCCACGCCCAGGAAGCCTCCCTGTCATCGGTCATCTCTGATGGGTCTGTGAGTTTGTGGGCACCTCTTTAACCCTCCAGGAGGGCAGTTTACAACTCCACCTCAACCGTCACTCCCTGCTCAGAGGCCCAATGTTAGGTAGAGGTGAAAGCTTAGCATGTTCTCGAGTCTGTCTTGAGCATACAGGTTACCCTGGCACATCTGTGCACATGCATGTGGTCTTTAGATTGCCAGAAAAAAGTAGGAACTTTGCAAAGCCCTCTTTCAATATCGTATTCCCCAGCTTTTCCTTTCAAGACTTTTGGTTCACTTATTGTTTGCCCTGTTACCCGTCGCCTTGGGCAGTGTGATGCTCAGCAATTACCTGATTGTTTTCAACGAATGTCCCAAGGCAAAGGCTATTCCCATTGGCTGAGCTCTGATTTGGATAAAATAAGGACAGCCTTGGAAGTGGGACCTTCCATGAATGCACCAGACAGGTCAAATGATGCCTACTCTCTGGGCGTGGCCCTGGAAGGTGCTCCAGGCCTGTCCTGCCCCCTCTGGCGGGATGCCAGCCTGCTGATTTTCAAGGCTTCTCCAGAGCTGGTGAGAGGGAATGGCAATAGGCAAGTTAAAATGCCACAAAGCTCACGGTCCTGACCAAGATCCAGCCAGTTTTCTTAAGTAAACCCTCTGCAGGTTGCTACAAGCCTTTGGTTAATTTCCAGCGTCCTGAAAAAGGTTGGTTCTGACCATTTTTGCCAGTGTTCTCATTGCCTCTCTGCAGGAGAATTTTCACAGGTCCTTCCTCCACCATTTCCGCGGCATCACCCGCAAGTTGGTTTTGGAACCTGCATATGCACGCTGTACTTATTAAGGACACTATGCTTGTGCTTGGTTTTGGAGGCTGCTTCTCCTTGGTTGACTTTTGTGGATCCCTTTGGCGGAGCCAGTCAAGCCGTGTCTGCCAGCCCAGACACCCGCATTTTAGTCTTGGCATCTGCCGTGGGCTGAGTGGATGACCTTGGAGCAAAGGAGCTGAGGTTTCCGGAGTACCTACTGTGTGTGCCAGCCTGGGTCCCCCTGTGCTTGCAGAACGTTTTATGTACGTTGTGTCATGTCTTTCCTGCAACAGCCAAGAAAGGGATAATATTCCCATTTAACAGATGAAGCAACTACTAAATGCAAACAATGTAGCACTGTACCTGCTACACATGGCAAATATTTCATACAGTGTTTGTTGGGTGGTTGTTACTACAACTGTTACTGTCAGAGGAAGAAGTGGAGTTGATGCGATTTCTCCAGGTAATTTGAATACCAGCCCAGGTCAGTCCAATTCCAAAGGCCCTCCACATCCCCATCCCCATCCCCATCCCAGCTCCGCACGGCAAGTCCGTTCTGCTCTGGGTCTCACCTTCCTTACTCCGCAGGATTTGAGCCGACTGAAGTTATTCAGTCAACAAACACTTAACAAATGTGTTGCTAAGATCACTTTTGGGGTAACACGATAGAAGTATGTGATTTTGTGGGATCAGTTGCTCAGAGTCACGTTGGTAGCATTCTCTTGTTTGGCTTAAAAAAAATAAACCGGTAGGTAGACTGGCAGGTGTGTAACCCAGTGCATGTTTCTCTCCCCATCCCTTCTGGCTCCGTCCCACCCCCTGCAGAGGCGAGAGGGGACAAAGCCAAGTGGGTGTTCACCTGGCCACTCATCTTCCTCCTGTGCATCACCATCCCCAACTGCAGCAAGCCCCGCTGGGAGAAGTTCTTCATGGTCACCTTCATCACCGCCACGCTGTGGATCGCCATCTTCTCCTACATAATGGTGTGGCTGGTGAGTGGTGGGAGCTGCGTGGACTGGGTGCGCAGGCCTGCCAGAGGTGGGAGAGCGGCCTCAGGCACTACTGTACCGCCTTGGACAAGTTACCTACCTCCTCGGCCATGGCTCACTTTTCAGTAAGAAGGGGTACTGGCCCAGGTGCAAGCCACTGAACCATGCATCGGGGGTAACCAGACAGCACAGCGTGGTATTCACGTGCAAAGCAGGCATGGGGTGGAAGGAGGTGAACCTTCACACCTGGCAAGATGGGCAGGGTCATGTGGCAGGGGTGGCATGGACTAGGAGGCAAGGACTGGGCCTGATGCCCCAAAGATGGCTCTGCGAAGAGCTCTGGAGGGCTGAGCACTAGGACCCGGGGGAGTGGGAGGGAGCCCGGAGTGAGTGAGAGACAATCTCCAGCCCTCCCCTACCCCTTGCCACGGGACGTTCCTCTCCCCTTTCTATGCCCAGGCATGTGTATGAACTGTGTATAAACTCTCTAGTCCTCATAACAACCACCTTTTTTATGCCCATTTTACAGATGAGGAAGCTGAGCCTTAGAGATTGAGCAATCTGCCTAGTTAGTTTTACAACTGGCATCTATTACACAGTGAGTTCTAAGGCAGGATCAGATCCTGGTGTACTGTTCTCCTGAGTCCACGATCTCAGCCACTATCCTGAACTGCCCCTCAGTTTGTGGCTGGAATTTTTCAGCGCCTCTTGGACCAAGGTTTTGCAGGCGGAGAGGCTTGGGCTCAGCTCCTGTCAGCAGCTCTGGCCACGCCTCACAGGTCTCTGTACAAACCCTCAGCGGGTGGGCCCAGAGGGAGCTCCGCCTCCTCGCTGTGTGCACTGTTCTACGGGGTCCTCCCTCCCATCTCCCTCTTCCTCCCCCTCCTCTCATTCCACAAGAAGAGCCCAGGAGCCAATAGAGGAGATGCGGTTGCAGGATGTCTGCATCTCCGTTGATGGGAAGCTCACCTGTCAGCCAGGCACAGCTTCGCACAGCGATTTTTGACGTTTGTCGTCCCATGGCACACATACACTAAACACTGAAATTCAGCACACCAAAAAAAAAAAAAATTTTTTTTGCCAATCTGACCAAAAAATAGTTATAATTTTGATTCATTCACACTGGATGGCTATTGGTGTGTTAGCTGTCATTATTTTTATTTGTCACTATAAGGGAAAAGTGGTCAGCGCTGCTCACTAAATAGGCATGGCGCGTTTTAAAAATTCTTCTCGCACACCGGTTGAAAAGCGCGGCCATAGCGGTATTCTCTAGGCATTTCACTCCCCTCCTGACACCTGATGCCGGGCAGGGAAAGGGCACATGAGCCTCCGTTTTAGAGGCGCAGGGGCCACCTTTCCCTTAACCCCAGAGGGGCGGTTTGGTGGGGAAAGAGGGGCTGTGGGGTCACAAGGCGGTGGAGCTGTGAATCCTACTTTTCCCACTTAGGATCCGTAAAACTCAGGCAGGCGACTCAACCTCTCTGAGCCCTGGCCACCGCCTCTCCAAGACGGGGAAGCTCAGCGCTGCTTCACGGGGCTACTGGGAGGGTAGAGGGCCTCTGGGCAGGCTTCGTGGTCTGTACTGTAAATTACAGAAATTTTGTACTTTTGTAAAGTACTGTAAATGGTACTTTATTTCAATTAGTGTTTCCTTCATTTCTGCCTGGATCTTTTTTATGCTGTTGAGGTCCTCACTAAGTTCCTTGGGCATCCTTATAACCAGTGTTTTGAACTCTTATTTAAAAGATTGCTTACCTCTATTTTGTTTAGCTGTTTTTCCAGAGTTTTGATCTGTTCTCTCACTTGGGCCATGTTTTTTTGTCTCCTCATTTTGGCAGTCACTTTCTTTGTTTCTATGTATTAGGTAGAGCTGCTTTGACTCCATGTCTTGGTAGTGTGGTCTAATGTAGTAGGTGTTCTGTAGAGTCCAGTGGCATAGCCTCCCCTATCACCCAAGCTGGGCACTCGAGGTGCACCCTTCATGTGGGCTGAGTACACCGTCCTCTTGTAGTTGAGCCTTGGTTGCTGTGGGCAGGTCAGTGGAGGGATTTACCCAGGTCAGTCAGGGGCAAGGCTTGGCTATGACCACTGACCACCAACCTTTGCCCTCCCTGGAGGATCAATTGTGCAGGGGCGTGTGGTGGTGCTCCGACATGGTCTATAGCTGTCCACTTGATGGGTTGCCCCTTGGGGCTTCCCTGGTGGTACAGGCCAAGGCCAGCCCCCACCTGTGTTTTGCCCACGGCCACCCTGCCTGAGTTATAAAGCAATCCAAGATGGCTGCTACTTGTGCTGGGCTTAGAGGTTCCCAGGCAAACAAAGCCAAGCTATGAATCCTGACGGGCGGCTGCCAGTGCCAGGCCTGGGGCTCACTGCCAGCTGTTGCTGGTTTGAGAGGATTTAGGAAGTTGTGAAACATGAGTCAAGACCAGACATTCATATGGAAAAGCAGGTTGGGTGGGCCCATAAGTTGGGTGGGGCAGAGGCTTGGGGATAACCAAGGCAGGTCAAACAGAGTTAGCCAGGTTGATGGAGTCTCTGATGTGGCACCAGCTTGCTGGCTCTGTAGCTCTGTGGGAAGAAGCATTTAGAAAAGAAACAACGGCCTCTGCTCACCTTGATGCCAGACACTTCAGTTCCTCCCTGTTTTCCACTGGTGCCTTTCAAACTGCTACCCCAGTGCTAGAGCTCAGAGGGAGTAAGTCTGAATAGGTGAGTCTGTGTGTGGATTTTTTAAGAGGAACTGTGTGGGGCTCCAGAAGTTTCTTCCACTGACTCAATCCCCACTGGTTTATGCAGCCAGAAGTTGTGGGGACTTATCTTCCTGGGCTGGGAGGCCTGGTGGGGGGCTGAGACTGCTTGCTCCCAAGATACCCTCCCGAATTTTTACCCACTACACAAGTGGGTGAGGGACCAGCCCATTATGCATCTGTGCCCCTCCTACCTATCTGGATGGATGTGGTTTTCTCAGTCCCTTAGTTGTCAGACTTCTATTCAGTTCAATTTCTGACGTTCCTGAGTGATGGTGGTTCTATATTGCAGTTGTGATTTTGATGTGGTTGTGCGAAGATGCGAGCCATGTCTGACTACGCCACCATCTTATGTTTGATTTTTTTAAATCCAGTAATTTCTCTTACTAAAATGCTTTCCCAAAACCACATTGCAGTTTAAAAAAAAAATGTATTTCGTGACATTTGAGTGGGTATGAGAATTAGGGAAGATCACTTTAAGGAATGTGTGAAATTTTTTTCTTCTCTAATTACTGAAAATAACGGTATTATTGAGCCAGTTCTACTGATTAGCAGTGAGGTTGGACATTTAATAACAGTCCCACCCCCGCTTCTTAAAGCAGAGTCTTAGCGCCTGGCCTGGCCAGGAGTCTGAGGCCCCCTTCCCCATGGCTTTGAACTTCAGCTGACCTCAGTCTGGGGAAATGCAGTGGCCTCCACTGCAGCAAGTAGCACAGCGCCACGTTTGTCTAATTTCCCAAGCCAGATGTGCCAGCCTCTCGGCCACGCGCTGACCTCACTTTGCCCTGGCAGGAGCGCCAAGGAGCAGTGAAGTCTCAGCTGCTCACCCTTACCCCCCGCCCCACCGTTCACATCTCTCACCCCCAAGTCTTGGGGGGAAAATTCCTGAATGTCTGCGTCAAAAAGGAAAGACATTCAAAATGGGTCATCTTGTCCGACACCCTAGCACAGCTGCGGAGACTGAGGACCAAAGAAGACTAAACATCTGGAGAGATAGCAGGGCCCAGGTCTAGGGTCCAGGAGCAAGTGACACTTGGGTAACACCTCTGCTCCCGGGCACCCTGGGCGATGTGTGTGCGTATGTGCATGTGCACACACTTCTTTTTCTCATCCCTCCATCCTTCACGCATTTAGCCATGCAGTTCAGTGATTTAAGAAAGAAAATAGAGGCATCCTCAGTAATGAGAAAATAGCCCAGGCTCCTGTTTTCATGTCTGCAATCACCCATTGAAAGCACGTCAGCCACAGCCTGCCTGTGCCTGTGGCATCTTGGTGGCCCGTGCGGATTAAGCACGGGTGGGTCAGCCCTCCTCAGCTGTCCCTCCCGGCACCGCCCAGCACAGGCCCGGCGGTGTGTGCTCTGGCCTGTGCTCTGAGAAAACGATGTCCCACTGTCCTGGTGATGCTCAGCTGAGCGCTCCCTCCTCGGTGTGGGGTCCCTTTAAACTCCTCTGTTCGCTTTTAGTCTATGTGCTCCGGCTGCCCTCCAAGGCTGAGGTGTGCACTTAGAAAGCACTTCATCTGGGGACTCCAATAACCCCCATTTTTCTGCGCCCATAGATTGCAAGACTAGTGATTGAAAGAGCAGGAAACACACATCTGTGAACACCTTGCACAGGCCAGGCCCTGCCACCTCACGTTTTCTCACTGTAGTCCTCATTAACAAGCCCATTTTACAAGGGAGAAAGCGGAGACTCAGAAGCTAGGTAGTTTGTCTTCAGTCACCCAGCCGTTTGCTGGGATTGGAGCCATCGGCCGAGATGGGGACAATCCTGAGAAATGCCACTACTCCCACTTTCCCGGTGGGGAGGCACGCGTGAGTTGGAGGGTGTGGTGAACGGGGTTGTGTGACCACTTCTAGGGCTTTCCATCTGGCTGCTGTTGAAGGCGCCGGCCATCTCTCAAGTGTCAGACATTTATCAGAGGGCTACATGACTGTGCATCAAGACCCTCGACACCAAGAATCCCTGCTGCACTGGGGGGTTCCGGCAGCCTTTCTTAGCCTCTCTGATCCTCCATTTTTCTAGGCAGAAAATGGGCATAATGATAGTGCCTCCCTCTGTGTGGGTAGGGAGTAATGGAGCAGGTGAGATTGTGAAAGGAAAACACCTGTGTACCTGTCATACAGCAAGTGCTCCATAAATGTTACTTATATGCCTTGATATTGCACGAGCCAAAAAAGGAACCACCTCAGTATTCAACGGTGAGGGATTGGCTAAATACCATGAAATCCACACAGCAGTATAAAATAACATAGTTGAATATTTGAGATGGAAAGGTATTCACAGTATGTCATGACACAAAACAAGTGTTGCAAAATATATGCTGATCGTGTAATCTGATTTCACTTTTTCTAACACACCAGAAAGGTCAGGGATACATTCTAGAGCAGTGGTTTCAAGTGGTTCCCCGGAGCAGCGGCCTCAGGGTTCCTGCCACTGGGAAAGTGTTGGGGACGCAGTTTCCTGGGTGGCACACGGCCTTCCGGGAGCAGACCCTCGGGAGGTGGGGCCTGGCAGTCCGCAGCTTAACAAGCCCACCCGAGGCTTTTCTGTATGTTCAAGTGTGAGAGCCACTGGCTGATGGAACGTGGTTATAGCGGTCATCTGTGGCTTTTGAGAAGTGGTAGGTGATTTTTAATTGTCATTTTATTTTTCTAAAGTTTTTAAAACAGTGAACGCATATTACTCATGTCATCGAGGGAAAAAAAAAAAAACCCTCAAAAGCTGTTTTTAACAACCATATTCCAGATGTCTTCGCTAGTTAACAGCAGCGCGACATTCAAGTTCAGTGCGCTCAGGACAAGCAACGTTCCCCCCTTCCTCTGCAGGTGACTATCATCGGGTACACATTTGGGATCCCCGACGTCATCATGGGCATCACTTTCCTGGCAGCAGGCACGAGTGTTCCAGACTGCATGGCCAGCTTAATCGTGGCGAGACAAGGTACGCGTGGCGTCTCGGCCCCCACGGCCGCCCTGCCCCAGTGGCAGTTCACGGCTCTCACACCTGGTCGTTAGGTTCTGCTGGGGAGGAAGCTGACCTTGGAAAGCACATGGGTCAGGTTGCTCAGTTTCTGGGGAGGCAGAGATACTACAGAGATGAACACCTCCGCACCTCGAGGGGCATTTGCTGGTGTGCACTCATGAAACAATGAACTTGTCCTGAAAGCACCAATGTGAGATTGAACAGAGCGGGAGCCCAGGCTTCTTATAGCAAAGGAGGTGTAACGAGAATGTTCCGGTCCCAGGAAGGCAATGCGGTGATGTCCCATGCCTCCAGGGATTTTCCTGTGCTGCTCCAAAGTTCTGGAACTTGTATATCGTTTTGGTTTGCTCTGTGGTTGCTCTTTGGGGCTTACAGAGCGACCTGGGTTTACCCAGATGAGGAGAACACGGGCCCGCCTTTATCTCCTGTGGCTCTGCTGCCGGCGAGAGAGCGTTCCTGGTGGATGTCCGCAGGTCTTCCTTGTAGATGAAAGTTTGAAAGTATAAGGGTCAGGGTGAGCGAATGATGGAATGAAAGCTCGGGGGAGACAGGAGAGGAGAAGAGGAGCACCCAGAGAGACAGTTGGCTCAGGAGTCAGGGAAAGGACACGTCATTCCTTCCGGAGAGGAGAACGGGTGGAAGAACAGGTGCAGCGCGTTTCTGCGTTTCACACGAGACTGGAAGGCCGGTTTCCCCACGACGCCGCCCCTCACAGGCCTAAGCTGCCCAGAGACTGCAGTGCAGGCAGGGAGGGAGACGTGAGGCCCTCAGGGAAGCCACCGGGTCCTGGAGTCAGCGTTGACGGGAGCAGGACGGGAGAGGAAGTGACCTGGCTTACGCCAGCAGAGTGAGTCAGCCATCCGGGTGCTCCTCGGAGTTGCTGCAAGCTTCTCCGCCACCAAAGCAATTGCACGGTTCCAGGCATTTGAGCTCCGGGCTTGTTCCTGCCACACGCCTTTGTGTGAGTGCCAGATGACGACAATCAGAGAAAATTAGGGCTAAGTGACCAGATTACAGCAGATTTCAGCCAGCGTGAGTCCTAACTGGTAAAAGCTCGTTTTCTAACTTCTAATATCCCTCAAGTTATTTGGTCCCTCACGTGCAGTGGCCAGCATGATACTGGACAGCAGGGAGGAAGGTAATGGCATGGCCCTACCCTCTGAGATGCTTGTAGTCTCGTCAGGGGAAGAGTTCACCCTTCAGAAGCCGCCAGGGCAGAAGACCAGACGCCCCAGCATCCAGGTCACGGTGCCATCACCTGGGCCACAAATCCACCTCATGGCCCAGCGTGAGGGATGCTGGACCACTCGCAAACTATGTGACCGTGGGCACGTCTCAAGCCTTGGTTCCATCATCTACCACATGAGGACAGGCCCCCTCCCTCTCAGGGCATCTGGGGGGTTAAATGAGGTCGAGCACATAGTGCGTCCTCAGAGAACATGGCTGACACACCGCGCCTAGCAGGAGGACCGTGCAGGGCACTGCGTTAGGTTCCCAGGGCCACCGAAACCAGGGGCCCCACCCTGGGAGGCATAAACAGCAGAAACTGATCTCAGCCCGGAGGCTGGGAGTCCAAGAGCAAGGGGTCAGCAAGATCGATTTCTCCTGGGCTCGCAGGAGAATCCGCTCCGAGCCTCTGTCCTTGGCTAGTAGGTGACCGTCTTCATGTCCATGTGACTTTCTCCCTGTGCTGTGTCCAAGTTCGGCCTTTCTCTGAGGAACCCAGTCACTTTGGATTCGGGCCTCCCTAACGACCTCATTTTGGTCATCTCTGTAGAGACCCAATTTCCAAACAAGGCCACCTTCTGAGGTGCAAGGGGTTAGGACTCCAACATATGAAGCTTGGGGGTCACCACTCAGCCCACACCAGGCCCCTCTAGACCTCATGAAGGGAGTGGATCTTGGACCTCGAAAAGGGGTTTAGAAATGTCAAGTCTATGAAGAAGGAATTCCTTTTTAAGCAACAGCACTAATAGAACAGTTACAGAAAAGAATAGGGATTTCCAGCGACCCGCTCCTAATGAATGACAGGTGTCGATTGTCCCCTCCAGGCCTTGGCGACATGGCGGTCTCTAACACCATAGGAAGCAACGTGTTTGACATCCTAGTGGGACTCGGCATACCGTGGGGTCTGCAGACCATGCTTATCAATTACGGATCCACAGTGAGTTCCTTACTGAGCTCCTTAGTAAGCGAGACAGACGCCAGGCACATGTATTCCACGGGAATGATGGTGGCGTTGGCCCTGTCCCAGCCAAGGGCCCTGGGGGACACACTGCCCCTTCTTCTTGGCACCCACTTTCCAGGGAGGCTTCCAGAGCAACCTGCGGGGTGCCCGCAGGGGGAAAGCCCTGCTTCCCCAGCACTCATAGGTGCTCCTGCCCCGTGTCTCAGCCCGCTAGCGTGCCGGTCCCCTCCTGATCCTTTTCCTCAGACAAGCACAGTTGAGACTTGAGTCCACAATTCGCTGATCATCCACAGCCACCTGTGCCTTCAGATTGCGGGGGTCGGTCGGGGGACAGAAATAAACCGGAGCAGCTGGGCCGCCAGCACAGCTGGGCCCTGAGCCGCCCGGAGATTCAGGGCACGTGCTTGTTTCTGCAGGTGAAGATCAACAGCCGGGGCCTGGTCTACTCCGTGGTGTTGTTGCTGGGCTCCGTGGCGCTCACTGTGAGTTTTACATTCCCACGACAGAAACCTCACACATACTTCGTTTCATCGGATTCTGCCTGGTCACTTCCAAGTCCCTGAAACCCCTCCCCTTTCCCCCCTCCCATCCGCCCCTGGCAGGGAGGGACAAAGCTGGGGAATCCTGTCAGTTCAGATACCCCCAGGCTCCATTTGTGCCAAGAACATTGGTGCCCACCACTGCACTGTTCCCTGAACAACTAAGAGGTCCCCAGAGGAAGAGAATGACTTTCTTCTTGCTGCCCAGATGTCTCCTCTCACTAGCAGACCTGCCCGGCTGAGCTGACAGGTGGGGGCGTGACGGCCAGGCCTGGGGACTGGCACACAGTGGCGCAACTCGGGTCTCTGTACTCCGTGTGCCCCGGACTGTGCCCAGCTCTGCCTCTGCTGGTGGAGTCAGGCCTTAGAAACACCTGATGCTACCTGTCCTGTCAGTCAGAAGAAGTCAAGGCTGTGGTTAGGTGAATTGCCCACAGTCACACGACCTGTCTCTCTAGGACCCGTGACATTGCTCTAATGTGGTGACTATGAGCCAACCCTTAGGGAGCTTCGATTCAGGGATAAGGAAGGTGGTAAAGGGAAGCATGGGAGAGTCTGGGACGTATTTAGAATGAGGGTGTATTCCGGTCCAACTCTCCAAACACATGCGCGAGTAGAAAAAGGTGGTCTGAGCTGAAGTTTGCCCGATGGTGGGCCGCCGGGAGCCGTGGGAGTTTTGCTGAAGAGGGCTGAGGGTACCGAGTTCCGCGGCAAAGGGAGGACCTGGCGAAAGACCGTAGCTGTTGCTAGAGGAGGGCTGGGCTGGGCTGGGGAGGACCCACCCTGGAGGGCCGCTGGTGTGTGTCCCTGGAGCCCGCAGGGCTGGGCCAGGCACTCGCCCTGCCATCGGACAAGCCTAAAGCCTGTGGGGCTCACGCTGAGCAAACCAAGGACACGCCCGGCCGTGCCCCTCTGCTCCAGCCCACGCTTTGGAGGAAGTTCTGGGGTTCCTGGTTTGTGTGTCGTTTTCCAGTGCAAAGGCCTTTTGTATTTGTTTCTCTGCCCCCAGGCCAACCCTTGCCCTGTCTCCTCCCAGGTCCTTGGCATCCACCTCAACAAATGGAGGCTGGACCGCAAGCTAGGCATCTACGTGCTGGTCCTCTACGCCGTCTTCTTGTGCTTCTCGATCATGATAGAGTTTAACGTCTTCACCTTCGTCAACTTGCCCATGTGCCAAGAAGACGATTAAAGTTGAGCCGCTGCCCCGCTGGGAGCCGCCCCGGACACTCTGGCACTAGCGTCCTCCTTTCTCCTCCCACCAGGAGTCTCCCGCACCGGCAGCCACCGTCTTTCATGCACTGGAAGGAAGAGCCATCGTGGTCCTTGGTCACGGGCAAGGCTGCCAGGCGTCCTCCTCCTCCTTGGAGTTCTGCCCCGCAAAAGGCAAGATTTGGGGTCCGCTACTTGAGCAGCCTCGCAGACCTCTGAGCTGCCAGTCCCAGGAACATGGCGTGTGCCTCAGCTCTCTCAGACACTTTAGTCAGAAGGACTTCTGCGTGCTGTTTGTCCTTCCGTTTCGCAGCATCCTCAGGATAAGGTGGTCGGTGAATGCGAGGTCTCCTGGGGCACGTGTAAAATGGGAACGCTGCCCTCGGGGCCTCTTCTGGGCCAGAGGGGTGGGTTCCGAGGCAGCCCGTGCTGTGAAGGCCTCCAACCTCTGCCGGGGGCACTCGCGGTTTGGAGGGGGCACGGCCCCGACCTGCTGCAGGTGTGGGGCTATGGCATCCCAGCCCTTTTTCTGGAAAAACTGGAAGAGTGGAAATAGTTTTTTCAAGGTTTTTTTTTTTCCACAGCAAAAGAGAGAAAACAAGAATCTCCTCCTCATTTTTATTGATGCATTCAGAGAATAAGCAATGAAATATTAAAAATAAAATGTCATATAGATCATCATACTTGAAAAATATCATTCCATATAAAAGGACCCTGATGGGGACCAAAAAAGGTAACACTTAGGGACAACGGATCCTACGTGCATCGTGTTGCGTGGACGCTAAGACGTTTGGTTTGGAATTTAGGGAAGAGTGAAAGGCTAACATCTAAATGGGTGCTAATTCAGAGACACAGTGGAGATTGTAGTTTACAGCCATACATTCCAGACCTTCCGTGTGACGCGACGCACTGTCACTTTGGGTCTGTCATTTCTTTGTTAATGCTCTGCTCTCAAAACTACCCTGTTGAAAGGCCCAATTGTTTATGTGCCCAGCAGATTGCACAGCCTGCTGAACCGCAATGCGTGTGCCAGATGCAGTGGCTCGTGGCAAGAAGGGAGATTTCCTGAAACGCAGCAAATTTGCTCCCCGGTTCCCTGGAACCGTAACTTGGAATTTTTAGAGCTAAGTTCCCTGAACCTTAGAGTTTGCTACACATGAAAGGCCAAGGATGGGAGGCTGATTCAGAGATAGAAAAATATTAAACAATTTTCGATTGCTTCCTAGCTCTCAAATATATATTAAAAAGATTTACGAACACAAACCATTTGTGGTTTCTAAAAAGAAAGCACAATTAATTTTATATAGAGGTATTTTATTTTTTTAATGTTTCTATTGCAAAAGCCTATCAGATTCGATGCACTTTTAACATTGAGCTATTTTGCACGGAAGACTATGTGGGAGCTACCCATGCTGGTGTGGGAAAGAATGCTTTTAGCAACTCACCAAGCATCAGTCCCTGATGATGAGTTGAAATGCAACAGCTAATTCCTTCCCGAGACACAGGGGCAGTGACCTGAGGCGGGGTTTGTGGCTGTGCTCTTTAAGGCCGCCGGAGCTCCAGAAGGAGGAAGCGTTCGAGCCTGCGTGCTTGATGTCGGCGTGAGCCTGAGGTGAGCCGGGACCGTCACCGGGCTTCGGCCCTGGACTTCCGTCAGTGTTAGTAGCTACCCCACGTGAAGGCTTCTCCCTTTGCTGCTCTACCCAGGTCGGGTCTCAGTGGTCTTCAAGTTGAGGGCGGGGCGATTTCCCTATGAAATTAGCTAAGGGGGAGGCCAGGGAGCCTGGGGTCTCAGAGCCCTAGGGATATTTCTGTCCTCTTAGCATAGCTGGCCTGGTCCCCCACCGCTGCTGTCTTTCATTGGGTTTCAAAGCGTATCTGTCTTTATCTTTGGTCTCAAAACCCCCTGTGATATATGGAGGGATTGTTCTCCCTTTTAATAGAAAATTTTAGTCTTAAAGGAGTCAAGTGACTCTAGGTCATTGGCCAGCAAGTAGCGGAGGAGGGTCTGAGCTTTAGATTGTCACCTGTCTTAGCTCATCCAGCCCACTGGGTTGGCCGTTCTTGAAGGGTTGGAGGGCAGGTGTGGGTATGTTTTTACCTTTGTGGTTGGTTCCTAATATTTGAGCTCAAACTTCATCAGATATTTAACTGACTCCTGGGTGCCCTAGCTCATATCCTGATATCTATCCCTACCCAATGTCTCTACATTTTTCCTGAAAAAGACCAAAAACTATTTAGCTGCAAGGCGCTGAGCACATGGCCCCAGATGATGATCCTGCTGGTGTCCCATGTCTGAACACTTGTATAGGTTTCAGAAAACACATCTTGATTACCAGCCTCTTCCTCAGCAGAATCCTGAGGTGAAAAAATAAGGTTAATATGTAGAGCACTCTTGGTTAATTCTCTTTTGACTTTAATGTGCCAATGTGACTTCCTGAAGGGATTTATGCATTTATTGTACTTAGCAAACTATATATACACTGTAGGTGAAAGATTCTTTTTTAAATATTTCTCATCACAAGTTTAAAAAATTGCTTGATTAATTAGGCCTTCATTTTTAAATAACGCTTTTATCACTATGCAGGAATACTTCATTTTATCCCCAAAGCTAATTAGCATGGGGTGATTACATTGCTACAGAAATAGGCAATTAAAAAAGTAAATTTAGCTCTTGCAACTGAGGGCAGAAAAGAAAAGTGGACTCTTGGGCTCCGATCGAAAGTGTCTGTAGAAGCCAGAGCCGGCGGTTCCTCGTGATTTCCGGTTTGGAATTCGTCCATACCAGCCCGGGCACAGTCCGCCTGGAAGGTGTGTGGGACCTGGGGAACCTGGCCCTGAAGGACGGTTCCGGGTCAGCTGCCGTGCCTCAGAGTCCAGGGCTCGCCCCGCGCTTCCTGTCACCTGCCGTCACCCGGCCTCTGCTTCCTGCCCATCCACGTGCACAGGTCTTGCTGCGCTGCCCAGTGTTCACCTGCTCCTGAACCCTCTACCTGTTAGGGCTATTTCCTGCTTCTGCCTGGCAACCCCCTGCCTTTTCACGCCTGAGCAGCTCATAAAGTGCTAACCCTCCCAGAGTCAAACCAGCGGGGTGTGCGTATCGCTCTGGGGCAGTCCTGCAGGCCCCAACTGGAGACCCCCTCCGGGGCTGCCCCTCTTCCCTTTAGGGGGAGGCTGTGTAAGCCTTACAGCGGCAGCAGACGCCCAGCACCCGGGAGCCCCGGGGGCACACACAGGCCGAGAGCCAAGCAGGCCCTGGGCCCCTCTTTCCTCCTGGGGTTTCTCCTCCCGCGGGCCTAGGGCTGCTCCTAGTCCTCAAGGCAGGGTGGACCCAGGGGGGGTGGGCTGGGAGAGGGTGGGTTCCTCCCCTCCCACCCCGGGTGTGGAGTGGACTCATGGGGTTAGGGTGCTGGGTGGGGTCTGCAGACGAGCAGCAGAGCCCCTCAGGCCGTCCCCCAGCCCTGACCCTGACCCTGACCCTGACCGGGCACTCTGGGCTGGGGTTGGTCTCTCCCCGTCCGCCCCCACCTCTCCTTCCCTGTCGCCCCGATCCCCTGCAGCTGGAAGAGGCAGCCCCCAGCAAATGCTTAGTGCTTGAATGCACGAAGGACTTGCCGGTTAGAGGGAGGCTGTCCTCACGTGCTGTGATTTAAATGTCCCCAGGCCCCTCCAGTGCCCTCTGAACATGATTTCCATGGGAATCTTCCTCCCTTTGAGGCAGTTAGCAGATATGCCCAGGGAACCTGAGATGATCCCCATCTCAGCAGCTTCATTGCCACGTCGTGCCCATAGGAACTCCCAGAAATTTCTGAAAATGCTCTCTGGGAAGTTCTTGGGTGGCAGGAAGTCATCATCCCTCACCCCAAACCCACAGCCCTGCCTCCCCAGCCCCCACCCCTTTCTGTGGATTCACCCAGAGCAGCTGGGCTCCCCACCACGCGTGAGCACTCGCCCTCTGGCCTTGCGCTCTGTGCTGAGCACATGAGCCCTGCAAGGCTCCCTCGAGGCTCCTCGAAGCATGGAGAAGGGGCCCCTCCAGCACTGGGTATATCTCCCTCACGTCAGTCACATGGGTGATAGAGCAGGAGGGTCTTTCCATGGGCCCAGCCCACAGGCAAAGGACATGCATGGGACACAGGTTCTGTTGCTCACTTGGGGTGTGGCCTTTTGCCATCCTGGCTTATGTGGGGCCCCTTGGCTGTGCTGTACAGAAAGCTCCCCAAAGGGTACCGTCTGCAGGGGCACAGATTTTTAAAAGGCATTTAGATGGTTGTATTTGCTGCTTAAGAAGGAAAACTGCCTTGGGACACTGGCTTTGCACTTCACTTCCGGCCCGGTGGCTAAGAGAAGGCCCAGCCTGCCGCAGAGCTGCCCAGCCGCAAGGAAACGTGCCTGCGTGAAATCAGGGAAAGGGGCATGCTTCTCCTATGCGGCCACCCAGCTATTTTTTCCTGTCACAACAGGGAAGCCAGATGAGTGGTTTTAGAGCTTTGATGTTTTATGGGAGTTTAAAGAACTCTAGCTCTTCGGTGGCTGATGGCTCCCCAGTCCCATTCATCAGCAGTGTCAGTGTCCAGCCGTCCAGGTCGCGCATGCTCCATACACATTGCAGCCGGAGCTGCTGGCCTAGGAAAAGACCCGCTGCCGGACACCCTGGCCCACAATGGGGGGCACGAGAGTTGCAAGCGCCCCGTGCCCAGGTGGAAGGCCAGCCTGGGTGGTGTGGCTTTCCCAGCCATCCGACGGATGGGTCTGGATTGGCTGCTCCTTGGTTAAAAGCCTGATGACAAATACGGGCACCGTCCACACCTCTTCCCGCTGTTGCCAGAATTCACACAGTTGCTTTTTATGCAACATGTTGGTTGGGACTTTTCCACCATCAAAGCCACTGAAACCTTTAATCTCAGAGAAAATATGTACCCCGCCCACCCCACCACTGGAAAAGAATTTTTGTGAAGCTATCGAGAGAGAACATGTGCAGCTTTGGCTCCTAGTTGCGTGGTTTGGTATGATCAGCCTTTGCACATAAAGGGAGGGTCCCGGACAGCAGAGCCCTCCTTGCCCCCACTCCGGGATTCCCCAGTGAAGGGAACGGACACGCAGTCCCTTCAGCAGAAGGAGTGAGGCCTGTCCTCCCACTGAAAATGACTGCGGTGTGAGCAAGGCAGCTCTGTGT